TATTCTCTCCATAGGCATGCAGATTGAGACCTCTGCTTATGGAAGGAAGAATCTTGCTTGACACTTTCATTAGATTAGGCAATGTTAACTGAAAGCACAGTCAGAGAAAGAAATTTGCAATGTAAAGTTTATTTAAAAAAAAATAGAAATGTACTGGACAACCTGAATTCACAGAAATCAAAGCCTAATCTGTAACTAAGTTAAAAAGATAGAAACAGTACTTTCTGCAGTGTGCAGTGGGAAATTGTACACAAAGATCCGCAAGGTCTCTGTAGTGACACTGTATTTTGTAGAAAACAAGAGGGAGGGGGGGTGACTTGTAACCTTCGATCCCTCTCCCCACGAACATCTATTTCAAATATAACGACTGATGTAAATCCCAACTTAAATGGCTGGTTTGGAACCAGCTTTTTCGAAACAAAGAAACAAAAAAGCAGTATGTGATCCAGACAACTAAGGAATAAACTCTTTCTGCTTCTTACATGTTTCATCCTGAGGAGAGTTTGTTCTTTATTTGTAGTTATGCTGGGATGGATAATTTAATTCACAGCTAGAAAGAATTGGATATTTTTATTTCATATTTTGCTCTACAATGCTGCATTAATTGTGTTGTTCTTTTCAGCACAGATGCTTCACTGGCTTTTTAGGATTTGTTAATGCTCCTAAACTTAGAAAAAATAACAAACTTGCTGATAATTAGAAAATTGCCATTCCACAATGAAAATACCTGAGCTTTTGCTTAAGGTTTGTTATTCCCCTTAATATGAGGGTTTTAAACACACCTTAGTTAGAAGCCCTTTTGAACAATAATCAGAAACAATTGACAATTACAAATATTTTATTTCTGCCAATAAAATAGCTGTATGATGTCCTGAGTGAGAACAACCTCTACTGAATTTAACTCTCTTGAAAAGTAAAACCTCAGCTACATCAACAGCTGAAGATGTGGATAGTTGCAAAGGCAGTTTAATCTCTGCCATGCAAAATATAGGCTAAATATGCAAACTAGTATGCAATTTAATCCAGTAATAGTGGAATAGTCTGTCAGAGAAAGTACACTGGCAAATGAGCAACCAGTTGAACATGTTATATTTTAATTTGCAGAGACAAAAATGACAAGCAATTTATTTACATAAAACTGTACAAAAGCAAATTAAATTATGTAAATATTTCATAAATAGAGGTGGACTAGCGTTTAATACATTTTGCCATGTTTAGCATAGTTGCGTGCATAGTGACTCATAATAAACAATGATAAATTGTTCTCTGCTTCACTATCAACATCCAAGTTGCAGAACAATAGTCAATGATTAATATTACAAACAGATCGTACCACACTGAATGCAAGTGCTTTAAAATTTAGGAAAAGTTGCCTGAAAGCATACCCCAGGTAGCTGGTGAACACTGTCTTCTTCCTTGTGTTTATGCGCTTCAGTCAGTAATACAATTTAACTGATGGACTTACATTTCTACTGCTATTTCATCTGCTTCATTCCTTAAGGAAACACTGTATTTATCATTAATGGAACAAAAGGAAAAATATTTCATTGTTCAAGTTGCTTACAAGTGTTTGGTGACGGCTGGATTTATGGTAATGTCTTTATCTATTTTCTTTGTTTTCCTACTTGACTACTTCCTAGGGTAACCTTTCAGTCAATCATTTAAATTTCATTTAAGTTCTTCCCCCACATAAAAATAATGTTTAACTGTCTTTCCTGAAACTCAGGCAGCAGGCCAGTCAGAAACCATATTGAATAAACATAGTGGATCTGAGATCCAGAATGAGCATTAAATTTTAGACCAAAGCTATTGAATTTTCTAATACATATAAAGTTATATATTAACTTAGCCATCTATAAAGGTGTCTTAATGTAAATTGCATGCAAAGCTCATTTGAGTTTCTCATGGCAGGAAAAAAAAAGAGTAATTTCGCTACTGTACAACTGAAATGGGATGGCAGCTAAAAGCAATTTTAAAAAAATCTCATTTTTCCTGGCAACATGAACTGGTGACACCTTGCTAAATAACTAGAATATAGACTGATCATAGTTTCCCAGGCAGCAGAATTAAAAAAAAAAATTAAAACAACCCCAAACCCCACACAAATAGTGATAGAAAAAAATCCTCAAGACATACTTAAACCACAGCCTTCTGTTAATAATGCTTAAGACTGGTCCATTAACTGAGTTTGGCAAAAGGCTTGCTTTTAAATATATTATTTATAATTTCTCAGAAAATAAACACAGGTAAATATACAGGTTCAAAAATGTTGGGAATAGCCCCTTATCCCTCAGTCTCCAAACCCAACTACCACTTTACCATAATAATAGGTATAAAAGGCACAGTTGCATATTTTGCATTCACCCTAATTATTTTTTATATTTTTATTTTTATACAAAAGCACTCTATTTATGGAGTGGCACCAGTTTTAACCTATTTCAAATAAAGAGGAAAAATAAGAACACAAAATATATTTGTGTGTCATGCCAGGTCAGAAGAGTAATCAGCATATTAATAGTGGCTAGTTCCACTAGAATTACTGTGAATACTTACAGTAGATAGAATTTTGAAAAAATTCTTTCACACCCATTTTAGATCTAAGGAGATGCACACAAGTAAAGTATTTAATGACTGTCTTATGTGGTGCAAAAATTGGTGAGTGACTGCTGATCCATTTAATCTGAAGGTGCTCCGTGACCTGTATTATTAACCTTGTCAAAAAGGGTCTAAGAATGTATGGAACCAAGCTACCTAATTTTGTGTGTGTAATATTAAAAAAAAAAAAATTGAAGGAAATTCTGTTGAACATTTGTTTTATGCAATTGTGTATTCTGTTGAAACGTGCAAGAAAAATGTGTATACATTGCATAAGCATTTTTAGAAGCATTTTTAAACAGGTACTTACAGATTATACAAAGCAGTAACTGCTGTATGCAGTTTCATAACTAAGTACAAGTTTGCATCTCTCCATATTATTTAAATAATCAAACATTAAAATGTTCAATCATTATTAATCTTTGATTTTAATATTTTCTTTCTAAAATGTGCCCATTTATCATAACTGCTATACACAAACTAATGTTACTTGAAGAAAGTAAACTTGAGAGAGGAGAAGGAAATGGCCAATAATGGCACATCCCACTATATGGTGAATTCAAAAGATAAATGTGATGAGCTGTACTGATTTACCAGCCTCTACTTTAGGCTGTTTAAGGTTATTTCTATGCAATTCTTCAAAGCATTAAACTACCCAAAGCTACACTGTGACTACGGTATACTAGAGAGCCAACTAGCCATGCCATAATGCCAGCTTTAACAGCCAGGGACTGGAATGCTTTTCCCCTTCTGCTGTCCTTGCCGTGTTGTTCGATTGTCGCTTCCACCTGAATGTCTGAGCTCAGTCTGTAATTATTACTACAGCATCAGCTACAACACACCTGGTTGAAGTTCTGCATGTTTTGTTGCTTTTATTGCACAAAAACCTGTTTAATTTCCTCTTCCTTTCAAGAAGCTCTCACCATGAGAATTATTACAGCCCAGAGTTCTTGTATATCATGGTAGCTTGGACCCCTTGTAACTCATCTTGACCTGCTAGCTGAGTATCATGCCACTGTTTATCAGACCATTTTCTACCTATCCCAATTGTTCTGTCTTGACATCAATTAGTATTGCACTTCTCTTGGTTTTAATGCACTTGTGTTTCAAGAAAATCTGCATTATATCTTTGACATAATTGAAGCAATTGGTAATCTGCAACACTGGTGAACCGAAAGACTTAGCAATCATTCCTTGCACTCTGCAAAGGGTTTGTGTTTGACTTGTAATATTCTCCTGTCACTACAACATCCCATTGTCCACCTTTTTAATCCCACCATTCTTAACAGAACATTAACACAACCTTCTATTACTATTATTAGTTTTTAATTTTGACTTTAAAAAATCCCTGGACGTGGCATATGCAGCATATCTTGTCATTACAAAAAACTCCACATCAGTTCTTTTGGGCATTCAACTGAACTGCACTGGAAAAAAAAACCTGTGTCATCTGGGCTTGTGAACTGTTCTGTGGTGCAAAATGTAACTGAAGGTGTGTTATGAGTACATCTGTGTATTTGTGAATATAGTAGTTTTCTAAGCCAAGCCCCAATACTTAGCAGTTCCCCTGATCCATTGTGATCTTTGGCCTTTTTGTTATTACCATTTTCCCAGCCAGATGTTAGTCTTGCCCAAAGTAATGATTTCAACAGTTTATCATTACTGTCCTATGATGTACGTGTTACTAATTGTGTTTACATTGAAGTAATCATTACAGGGAATGAGAGAGAAGGACAGAAAGTGACACAGCAGGAACACGTTTGTTCTATGGATAAAACAGAACCAGAGTCCATGAATCATAGGAAATATGCCATGTTTTTGACTGCAGTCTCAGGCTGAATGTATTTCTGTTGCTTCCAGCCTCAGATGAGAGGTGACAATATTAAAGCTGTGGTCTTCACAAAGTGCCTGTTCATGATTATTCCTTTAGATTTATCTCTAGATCTGTATGGTTTCTGAAGGATTGTCCCTGGTGGGGATCAGCAATATTCAGGTGATATGTTTTGAATACATTTTCCCTGACCTGTTATCCTCAACAAGCCAGATGACAAACAAAATGAGTGGCTTAACTCATGCTTCTGCAGAAGGGAAACAACAGTGTGTTGTGTTCTTTTTATTCAAGCTTGTTACTATGGGAGGAATTTGCAACCATAGATTTAGGAAAATAAAAATCAGTGAGGGGGAATTAGACATGCAAGTAACAACGTTTTCTACATTGTACAGTATAGTCAGGCAGACGATATAATTAAATGCCTGCTATGGAGGCAGAAGTGGCAAGCAGATCTTTTGTCTCTTTGGTGGCCCCCTTTTTTCTTTCTTATGTTTTGTGAAAATTGTTTCTATTTTAAGACTTTTGCCCCTTTTTTTTTCTACAATATGAAAGAACTTTGTTGCTGCTTTTTAACCTACAGGTAAACTTCCCTTCTAGTTAGAGTATTGACAGGAGATGGCTTGTATTCCCCTGTCTGTGTAAGGGGGATATCTTCTGGATTGCCTTCTTCATTTTTGCTGAAACTAGCCACACTGAAGGTCTCATAAGATGAGGTCAACTTTTTGTTAAGGAGGTTTCTGTTGCGATCACCCATGAGGGAGGCTTCTCCATTGGCCAGCTTTTCCTGACTGCCCCGTTCATCAACAGGCATGAAAGTGGAGAGTTTCGGCTGACTCTTCTGCTTTCTTTCCGGAGAAGTGCGGACTGGCATCCAGCAGGAGTCTGAGTGGCCGTATTCATCACACTCTCGGGTACACTTCCCTGTCAGGGCTACATCTGGTAGAGGCCTTGAATCTGAAAGTAAAATAGAGTTGCCTTTACAAATGAATAATAGTGCAACAACTTCCAGTGAAACCAAGAATCCTCACATTCAAAAAAAGGTATTTTTAAAGATCTTGGTAAGAATGTTGCAGTGAATTCCTCAGTGATATATTTTTTATATGGAATGTGCCCATAGGAAACAGTACAGTTTATCCTCTACATCAAGTATTGAAAAATAAGAGTATTAAGCCACTTCCTGTGCTTGTAAATTAATCTCAAAAGCATTTGGCATTAGGTATTGAGTGAATGTTTATGTCCAAGAGTCAGCTAAGCTCTTCATTCCATACTGCCAATTTCCTTGAACTTATTAAAAATACCTTTTTTGAATATTTTTTTTAAAGAATGCTTTGAATTTATTTGAAATGAACCTGAGGCCTGGACTCTACAAATACTTATGAACATACTTAATGCCTTCAAAGTAAACAAACAGCTTGGTTATTGACAATGAGATGCAATCTGCACATATGTAAATCACAGATCGTATTTCTGAGGATTGGGCATTCATTGCTAGTACACAACATTTTACAAGCACATTTCATTTCAGCATCTGTAGATTTAATCCTGATAGACTTGCAAATGCTCTTGAAAGTCAGGTTTATCGTTCAACCTGTACCTGATTTCTTTCATGCATTGAAATACTAATTTAATTAGTAATTTGTTGAGGCATTGTAAAGAATATGCTGATAATTTATTAACAGTTGACAACAAATTTATAGAATGTACTGTTTATATTCTGAATGCTGTATAACATTTCATATTTCAATATGTCATTGGTTTAAATGAGGAAGACAGTACTGATGTTTAGATAACTGAGTAACTCTGTAGCTGGGATGTGTAAGGCTGGGAGGAGGGAACTGAGTTTTGTTTTTTATGTTTGTTTTTTTTTTCCCAGTTGCACTTTTTAAGTCTTTTGCCTCACCCATGATTCCCACATTTTTTCAAAGAATGCAAAACTGTGGGCAGTTAGCAGCCTATCAGTTTTCAGATAACTGCATTCTGGAGACGTGGACAGAAAATGGAGACTGTAATAGGAAAATTCTCTATTTGACAGCAGTATCTAGCATTATCCTAGCACTCCCTAAAGGTAAGGAGCATAATTAACTGCTGAGCAGCAGCTGATGTGCTTTGATTTTTAAATAGAAAAATATTATTCATAGTTTTACAACAGGACAAACCCCTTTCCCATTTAAATCTCAATACACTTTTCAAACAGCACCTTATTTCCAGCAATGGCCATTAAGCATATGCTTGCTCCTAGTATTTAAATTATTTCTCTGGCAGAGTATTAGCCAATGCTTATCGAGACAATATGTCTCACCCTTTATTTAAAACCTAGTAGTATGTTTTTATTGAAAAGTGTTTTTTTTTTGTTGTTCTTGTTTGGTTTGTTGTTTGTGTTTTTTTTCCCTAGACCAAAACAGTGAATCTCATTATATCTGGCTGCTTGGTTCTTGTGCAAACAGACCTTGAGCCAACATTACTTGGGTTGATAGAAATCCTTCCCTTTCTGGTGGTCCTTAAATCACTTACTTGAAAATATACCATTTGGTATTGTAGTGTATCCCCTATTCATTTTGGGACAAATATTAGAATTCCTTATTGTAAAGCATGAGAACAATTCAACCTTATGGTGCTGTTTTATAAAGTAACAATCTCTAAGTCAGCATGTGGCTGATTTGCCCCATTGGGTTATGTGATAAACTTAATCTTCACACCCACAAAAGAGCTGCAAGAGACACCGGCAGGATAATACTAGCCCAAATCGTACCCTTACTACAGGCTACTCCCAGGACTATCAGCCCATGAAAGATCTATCTGTCCCGACCTAGAGGGGTACAGGGGTGTAAAGTGGCAGATAAGAACACAAATCAAGGACTCAGAAGGAACAACCACCTTATGTGGGCCCCTCCCAGAGCTATGCTAGCAGAGTCATCAGCTCCACCGACTGGGCATGAAACCCATCACCATGAGTGATTTGCAGCTGCTCTCCAGATCTAACAGGGGGATTGCTGGCTAGGTATGTAGGATGTATTGTGTGATGGGGATAAAGCAGCTTTGGATAGCACAGAGTTTATTATATGATATTTAAGGGAGGAATCAGAGGGAGGACAAGGGTGGATTTTAGCTGATTTGGGGAGAAACAAGAGTGGGAAAAACAGCTACATGGAAATAATATGCTGGCTATAAAGTTTGTCTGTTTGTGCACTGTGCCTGATCAGTGCCATCTGTCCTATCTTGTTATTAAATTTCTTTCTGACTCTTCCTAGGTATGGACTGTCTATTCTATGTGCATATACATGTATATATATGTGTGTGTCCCCTCTTACTAGTGGATTTCTATCTTGTCCAGCCAGGGAGAGGGCCTTAATGAGGCCACTAGTCCTGTCTGTGTTTCTGTGAGTGCTCTTAGTATCTGTGACTCTCTGTATATACAGGAGTACAGGAGACAGTGATTAGGTTAGGAAAGCTAAAGCCCTGATGGAATTAAATCTGGCCAGAGACATTAAAGATAACAGGAAAAGCTTCTACAGGTATATCAGTGATAAAAGAAAGACTAGGGAAAATGTGGGCTCTCTCCAGAAGGAACCATGAGACCTGGTCATGCAGGATATGGAGAAGGCTTAGGCAGTCAATGACTTTTTTGCCTCAGTCTTCATCGGCAAGGGCTCTGGCCACACCACCCAGGTTCAAGAAGGCAAAGGCAGGGACTGCAAGAAGGAATATCCACCAACTGTAGAAGAGGAACAGGTTTGAGACCATCTTAGGGACCTGAAAGCGCACAAGTCCATGGGATCTAATGAGATCCCTCCATGGCTCCTGAGGGAACTGGCAGATGAAGCTGCAAAGCCACTTTCCCTCATATTTGAGAAATCATGGCACTCTGGTGAAGTTCCCACTGACTGGAAAATGGGAAACAACCTGGAGATCTACAGATCAGTCAGTCTCATCGCCGTGCCCAGCAAGATCATGGAGCAGAGCCTCCTGCAGCCTCCAATAAGACACATTGAAAATTTGAAGGTGGTTGGTGGCAAATAGCATGGCTTCACCAAGGACTAATCATGCCTGACAAATCTGGTGGCCTTTTACAACAGGGTCATAGCATCAGTGAATAAGGGAAGAGCAACTGATATCATCTACCTGGACTTGTGCAAAGCATTCGACAGTGGCTTGCCTGACATTGTGGTCTCTAAATTGAAGACATGGATTTGATGGATGGACCACCCACTGGGTAAGGAATTGGCTGTATGGTCGCTCTCAAAGAGCTGTGGTCAACAGCTCAAAGTCCAAATCAAGTGACAAGTGGTGTTCCTCAAGGATCAGTAATGGGACCGGTGCTGTTTAACATCTTTGTCACCAACATGGACAGTAGAATTGAGCGCACTCTCAGCAGGTTTGCTGACAACACCAAGTTGTGTAGCTTAGTCAACATGCTGGAGGGAAGAGATGCTATCCAGAGGGACCTGGATGGACAGGCTGGAGAGAAGGGCCCATGCAAACAACATTAAGTCCAACAAAGCCAAGTGCAAGGTCCTGCACCTGGGTAGGGCAAATGCAAGCACAAATACAGGCTGGGCAGAGAATGGATTGAGAACAGCCCTGAGGAAATGATCTTGGGCATGTTGCTTGATGAGAAGTTCAACAAGAGACAGCGATGTTTGCTTGCAGTCCAGAAAGCCAACAGTATTCTGAGTTTGGTATATATTCTATATCAAACTGTTCTATGATTCTATGATCTTTGGTGCACTTGTGCTCTGTATGTGTGCCTACTGGGACAGTATCTTAACCTTTGCTACTGATTGGACCTGCGGACATGGAGCAGAAGCAGCAGCCCTGCCTCCCTCAGGCTGTCGGACCTAGTGTGATATACTTTCCTATAAAACATCTTTCAATTAGTATTTGACACGTACACTTAATGTAGCCTTCTACTTCATTGCTTTCTTGAATCAGTTCTAAGAGCTTGAATCAGGAAAGCATTTAAGCACACATTTAACTTAACATGTTTTGAAACCTATTGCTGCTCTTCTATTTAAAAGCTGGACAGAACTTCAGCATTTGGTGACAGGGGAAGCGGTGCAGCAAAGGAAGGAACATTTTGTGTGTGTGTGAAATTAGAAGGTGGTTAAAAACATCCAGTGCTGTCAGGAATAAAATATTACCAGTACCTAAATCTGTCAGTTAAGGAAAACTTGGGTACTTTCTGTATACTGCAGCAGGTAACAGAGATTTAAACTTCATTTTGAAAAAACTGCCACACAGCTTTACCTGCAAAGTAATTAACTGTATTTTTGCTAGTGCCCTGAATGGATTGATCCTCTTTTACAGAGTAGTGCTTTTATGCTCCTCTTTTTACATTATCTAGCCCATGGAGTTAGGAACAACCTCTGAATTTATAAAAAAGTTACTCTTATACTCCAGCATAATTAATATCAAAACTTTGCTATCTCTAAGTGACATGCTTTTTTAAGTACTTTGCAGTTTAAAAGTTAAACACTTTAGTAGCAACCACACTGCCAGCTGAGTAGCCTAATGGAATAAGAGACAGCACAGAATTTGTCAGCACAGTTGGCAAATAATCAAGGAAGAGTACAACACATTTCTACCACAGTTACATATCTGGAAAATTACTCCAGTACTTATCATGCAAGTTATTAACAAAAAATTTTATCCCAATGCTAATTAGTGAGAAATGTAACCTGGAGGGAGGAATGGTATTTTTTGTCGCACAGAAATGTATAGAGTTGAGTTTAATTTTTAAATGTTTTCACACAGACTACTAAAATGTAAGCTTTTATTTGCATAATATTATCCTCAGAGTTATAATGGAAGATGTCATCTAAGTTATTTCCAAACATCCTCTTACGGTGCCTCTACATCAGAACTCGGTATTGCTTTCTATAAAACTTTGTATAAAAGCATGTGAATGAATGGACACATTTATATGGATGTTTGTGTCTTACAGGCACAGGAACAGG